TGTGTGTGTGTGTGCGCGCGCGTGTGTGTGTGTGTGTGTGTGTGTGTGGAGTGAATGGGGAGCGGGGTTCAACGAGGGCCTGTGTGCGTGTCGTTTGGCAGCGAGGTGGGCGAGGCAGGAAGAAGACAGGGCGCGCCGCGTGCGGCGCAGGCGCAGTGGCGGGGCCCACCAAAATAAGGGGGGTGCGTGCGGGGCGGACGGGGCCGCAGGGCCGCCGCTCCACCGGAGGTGTCGGAGACTCTAGGCGGGGTGCGGCGCGACTGCCGCCGCTGGCCCTGGTCAACCAACCTGTGGGGTCTTGGGGGTCTGGCTGGATTGCGTTGTTGTAGGCCCCCGCGCCGCCCTTGGCGCAGCCCTCGCTCGGCACGGCGCGCAGGAACCTGGGGCGCGTCGTGTTTCCGTAAGAGCGGGGCGTTTGGTGAGGGAAGGCATGCATGTATGGGATGCGCTTGTCCCATGCATCGCTGGGAGTAGGAGGCTGGGTTTTGCGGGGGCCGTGTGGGCCGCGGCAACAACGCCCCCAACCCACCCCCACCCCCCTGCGCGCATCTCCTACCAACCATCCCAGAATTGCTGGCGATTTTCTTTGCCCATATATTCTGATCACCATTGCATACCTGTACACTGATACATTGGAACAGTGCACCCAGACCGCCCAGAGCTCACCAAGGGAGGTACTCTTGAACCCCCTCCAGCGGCGGGCGCCCGCCCGGCAGCTCCGAGTAGCAAACACTGCAGTCCCCGCACACCCTCGCGTCGGCACTGCACGGCGCCTGATCCGGCGGCGGGCAGCGCGGCCCGCCGGTCGCGGGCTCGAAGGGCGAGCCGGGCGGGTGGCGGCGGCAGCACTTTGGGAGGGCTGGGTTGAGCCAGGAGTAAAAGTCGTCGATCCAGGAGGCGGCGGGGGACGCGATGAAGGACGAATCTGGGGCCAGCGCCGCCTCAGACACCTTTTGGAGTGTCGGATGGGTGGGATTTTGCGTGCCGTTAGGGGGAGAGGCAGCGGCCGCGGCGGCGGGAGGGGACGGCTGATGAGGGCGTGGCCAGGAGGCGAGCGCAGACGGCGGCAGGAAGGCCGCGGGGCGCGTGCAGGGGCGCCACCATGGAGCAACACGTGGATTGTGGCTGGGCTGCATGATTTCTTGTTACCAGGCCCTCTCGCCACCCCTACCCCCACCCGACCCGGCCCCCACCGTGCGAACGCCCCACACGCCCCCACCT